CACACACATACATAAACACACACACACACACACACACACACACACACACACACACACACACACACACAAGCACACACATAGCGCTCGCGCGCTCGCCGCGTACATATATTGAGTGATGTATAATGTATATAAAATACAGATTAAAAAAAATAATATATTATATATATATAATACGCTGATATTATACAGTGGCGCCCTAAAGAAACTGGAAAATGTATTCGACCATTTACCATTTATCGTGTTATAGCCTTCAAATCTAAATCGATTCTGCATCACTGACACATTGGTTTTACATACATATATGTACAATAAATTAACCTGAAAAAATCGGCCGTGGTAAACTTTTGTGAAATTAGAGAAACTTAAAAACGTATTTGTATTGTTTTAGGGTGCATCTTCAGTGGTGGAATGGACATGTATTGCATATTAAATGAATGGATAATTGTCTCACCACAATGGACAATGTTTTGGGGTTTTGTTTTGTTTTTTGTTTTGTTTTTGTTGTGTTAAAAAAAAAGATACAGTAGAGTTTCACATTGATTGGAAAACAGTGCAGTCAGAAATATCACGCAGAAATTGGTCGCGTTAAAGCAGAAGGGTGCTATCCCGAAAAATGCTGTTTTGAGAAAATCGAAGCTAAAGTTTTTGCCCCTTGTTCAGCTTCTTTAAAAGACAAGGAAAGTTTTTTCTATGTCCAAACAAATATACACATCAATGACGCTATACTTCTGCTATAGGTAGGGTTATATTCACTTTTTGTGTAGGTCAAGATTTTTGGAAACCCCCGAAATCTGGGTTAGCCAGCGTGTCCTTAAAAACGACCAATTGGACTTTACATTTTGCGACCTCAATGCTTTTTTGTCCTATCTCCATTTTTTTAACATTGAAAATGTGACTTCTTTTAAAGCTTACTCTTTGTTATGAACTGTTTTCACTGTTTAAAAAATTGGAGATATGACAAGAAAGCACTGAGGTCGCGATTTAATATGTTGGTTATTTCATACACACACACTTTCTCTCTCTCCCTCTCTCTCTCTCTCTCTCTCTCTCTCTCTCTCT